TGGCACCATAGAATTCCTGGATTTGAGTTTGGTCTTTCTCTTTTCTTTTTGTCGTTTTTGTTGTTGGGGAGCGGGTTGCTTTTGGGGGTTTTTCTAGAGTTTTCGTGCTAACCTGTTTTTTCTTCATGTCTTTCAAAGTGTAGTAGATTTCTTTGTCGTCTCCTTCCGGAATTAATTCTGATTCTCTTTGAATAATGGAGATCGATATTATCGATAAGATGCGAAAATTCAAACTATCGAATAAAGAAAAATTGGGCATCCAACTAGCAGAGACATATGCGGAGCCTAGTCTTCAGGAATGTGAAAAAAGCCTGATTGGTCTAGTAGTGGAGGAGAAAAAAGTTAATAATGGGGGAATGAAGAATACAATGGGAATCATCTGGAGGCCAAGCAAGCCATTCTCGATCAAAACCTTGGGCCTGAACTTATGTCGATTTGTATTCCAAGTAGAGGAGGACCGGTTGAAGGTGCTAAAAGGCAACGCGTGGTCTTTTGATGGGCAATACCTACTACTTAAAGAGTGGAAGAAAAATAAGACGGTGTTCAAGGAGGAGGAAATGACGGTGGACTTATGGGTGCAGATACATAACCTACCAATCCATTGGATCTCTGCACAAATAGGTTTGAAAGTCGGTGAAATCATTGGACAAGTGAACGATGTACTGGTCCCGGTGGTAGGGGTTGTTAATGGGAGAATTGTCAAAATCTTAGTCGTGATCATTTTGTTGGAGCCCATACCTCGAAGGACAACATTGAATCTAGGGGAGGAAGCGCACTGGATTGACTTTAGGTATGAAAATCTCCAAACCTTTTGCTTCTATTGTGGCATGATTGGTCATAGTGATAGACAATGTGATGCTAAGATACATGATGTTCAAAGGGATGTGCTGAACACAAAGCGGTATGGAGAGTGGTTAAGGGGTGTCTCGGAGGGTTCTTATGAGTCTAGGGAGATGAGACCTCCTAGGGTATGTTTGATAAGCCAAATAAGCTAGCTTATAGCTTATTTGGTTAGCTTATAAGCTCCTTGTTTAAAATAAGCCTCGTTTGGTAGGACGAGCTTTTTTAAAAAGCTCGAGCTTATTTCATAAGCTAATTTAGGTAGCTTTTCAAATAAGCTAGTTAAATTTTTTATTTCAGCTAGCTTATCAGCTAATTTACCAAACATCTTTTATCATATAAGTTAGCTTTTCAGCTATAAGTCATAAGCTATAAGCTATAAGCTCAAAAATTACATATAAGCAATAAGCTAGCTTATCAGCTATCAGCTAGCTTATCAGCTAGTTTTACCAAACATAGCCCTGGTCCCCTGAGGGATAGAGTTACTCTTATTTCTAGTAAGGCTAATCAACCTGCTACTAGAGTCAGCCTAGGGGAGGGTCAACCTCTAAATAGGAATAATTTGGGTCTAGATAACCTACTGCCAAAGAGTAGTGCCATAGGGGATATGAATGAGTTTGTCCACAGGAGTCAGGAATATGTTCCTATGGCTCAAATTGGGGGAAATAGTGGGGGGAAAATGAGTAAGTTGGTAGTGAAAAATATGGACATGGATGGGGAGAAACACAAGTGGGGTCTAGTGACAATCTTGTTAATCTCTCTGTTGCTTTTCACCAAGAACAACAATAGAGTCCTAGAGGAAGGTTAAGTCTTTTGTGAGAATTGCTGGAAGCAAAACCATTGAGGGGATAACCAAACCCGAGTATAGTGACAGGGGGAGAAGAAAAATCAGTTGACCTTGGTGGGGGCAAAAAGGAAAATGGAGTTGACTAATATTGTGATTCAGTGTCAGGAGGTCATGGATGAAAAAACAAAACAAAAACTTTCTAAAAATGAGTTTTTTAAAAAAAAAAAAAGTAAAGGAAATCAGCCATAAATGGTCCCAAAGTTTCAAATGAGAGTTTTGGTGTAAAATTGTAGAGGTCCCAGTTGAAGGAATTAAAAATCCTACCTCCCAAATTTTACTTTTTTTATCTGAAACTAGGAAGAAAAAAGCTTTTGTAAAAATAGTTTGTAAAAAGTTACATTTTGATGATAGGTGGGTTGTGGTAAACCCTGTGGGAAATCAGGGTGGTCTCTTTTTGAATTGGTCTGTTAATATTTCTGTTTTGGAAGTGATAAAATCTCAGTTTTGTTTAAAAGTCTGTTTTGTGAAAGTTAGTTTATTAAATAAGATGTTAGACACCATTTTAACTAGGGTAGTCTTTGGTTTGTGGCAGGGGATTTTAATGAAATTTTGGACAATAATGATAAGAAGGGAGGTCTATTAAGGGGTCAGTCAACCTTTCAAAACTTTATGAGGTTTACTGAGGTTCTTAACCTAGTAGACTGTCCTTGTGTTAGGCACCCATTCAGTTGGTCTAATAATAGCCAGGAGCCCAGTTTGTTGAGAAGAAGTTAGATAGAGTTTTTTTATCCCTAGAGTGGTTTATGTTATTCCCAAATGCATCTATCTTGCACATCACCATGTTTTCTTCTGATCATTGTATGTCAACTTTTGACTTAACACTTTAGAAAAGAATGTGAAAAAAAGGTTTTATTTCGATAGTAGATGGGTTAAAATGGAGGGACTTGAGGAGTGTGAAAAAAAAAAGCTTGAGGGGTAGAGGTCAATGGATGGGGTACGTTCAATTTTTTTTTTA